ATAGAATGTACAAATATATATTTCATATTAGAGATCACTTTTCTAGATTTTCATATGCAGAACCTTCACAATCTAAGGAAACCATAAAAGCTGCAATTTGTTTATTCAATTTCTGTATAACATATGGTCCACCTATAGTATTATATTTTGATAATAGTGGTAAGTTCATTGAAAGAATAATTAAGAAGACATTAAACTTTTGACCTACTATCAAATTCATTCATAGTAGACAAAGAAATTAGCATTGTCAAGGAATAGTAGAAAAAGGAAATGGAATTCTTTAATCCAAGTTAGGAGGCTAGATAGAAGAGACAAATCGAAGTAATTGGAGTATTGGATTAAAGTTTATTATTTGTATATTTTTTATTTTTTTTTTAATTTTTTTATTTATTTAAATTTTTATTTAATATTTTTTTTGTTTACAATTCTTATTAAAATAATTTTGATTTGTTTATTTAAATATAAAGCATCACATTATAACTTTATTTTATAAATAATATTTATACTAATTATGTTATAGCAAATTAATTATTTATTTTTAAGTTTTTTTTATTTAATTTTTATTTATTTTTATTTAACTTTATTTAATTAGTAATATCATTTTAATATAATAATTTTTTAGGGATCATGAACAGTCAGTATTGTATAGCACATAAATCAATTCCTTATAAATTAGTATTCGGACAGCTTCCACATTGTGATATGAATTTAATTAACATATTAGAAGATAAAGAGTCATCAGATAATTATACTCTAATATCAGAAAATTCTCAATCAACTATTAGTTCTAAAATTAGTAATGAAATGGTTGAATCAGAACTTGATGAAAAATATTTTGAGGAGTCTTAAGAGTTTAATGATGATATAGAGCAAGTTGAAGATAATTATAATGATATTGATGAATATGAATTACAAGAAATTGATGATGCAAATGAAATACAAAAAACTAATAATTATCTTAAAGAAGTACAGAATCATGATTATAATATCTTACAAGAGTTTTATGATGATTTTACATTATCATTATATGACTCTAAAATTGGAAAGTGTTCTAAAAACACATTAGCTTTAGAAATTATTGAAATTATAGACTCAGATAATGATATAAATAAAGATCAACATTATACATTATTAGAAAAAGAAAAATGGTGATCTCAATGTGAAGATATTAAGGTTAATTATATTAATTATTTGTTTTAAAATAAATAAATTAATTAAATAAAAATAATTTAAAAAAAAAATAAAATAATACAAAAAAAAATTAAAAAAATAAAAAAAATATATATTTGTATACTAATAATCAAAAAAATTTTTTGTGATTATCAACCAGTACAAATTTGACCCATTCATCATTTGAACAACATGAATTAGTCTGACCATCAACAATTTTAAATATAAAAAGAAATCGGGAGGTTATACAAAATAGAATGGAAAAAAAATACAAAGTTAAATGTAAATGAAAATTTGAACTTGATGAATTTGTTAAAATTCGCATATCTGATCTTAATAAAAATAAAATGAGTCAAAGATCCTTACCATGTAAAGCACTTCAAAAAAACTTAATATCGATTCATATCAAGTTGCTTGCCAGTATGGAATACTTAAAAATTGGTATCTGACAAGTAAAATTGAATCACTTGAAACCCTTGACTATCCTTCTCTTAATGTTGTTCTATTAAACAAGACTTTTTCATTAAGGGAAGCAAGTTTCAAACAAAATAATAAACAATTAAATCAATTTTCAAATCAAAATAATAATGTGTTAAGTAAGTAAATAATTTATTACATAATTATAAATTATATAATAATAAGCTAATAAATAATAATTATTTAGTGATAATCAATTAAAGAAAGCATCTCAAAGCCATCGCTCAAATTGTTGCCGTTGCCAAAAAACAAACTGTTCTTTTAATGCTTGTTCCTGTCGAAAAAGTAACTTATTATGTACATGACGATGTAAATGTGTTCTACGTAATGAATGTAAAAATCAATAAGAATTTTTTTTAAACTTAAATTATGTGAACATTTTATTATACATTTTTATTATCTATACAAATTCATTTGTATTGTGAATTTTTTATTAATTATGCGAATTTCTTACTATTTATTTGGCATTTTTTATTGATTATGCAATTTATTATTTAAAATGAGCTTTTTTTAATATAGTTAAAGTTTATTATAAAATGATTTTATTTTTTGTAATTTCTATATATAAATTTTTATTTTTTTTCATGCAAAAGAACTTTAATAATATAAATAATATCTTTGCTCAGGTTATATTATTTATTGTTATGGTAAATGATTTTTAGGTTCTTAAAATTTTTACCAATTGTGAAATGACCTAGGTCATTTCTAAATTCAAGAATGACCTAGGTCAATTCAGAATTGACCTAAATCGTGAAATGACTCAAAACACATGTAGCATGAAATTCAGAACTTGACATGCATCTAGCATGTTGGATTTTTTATTGTGCTAAGGACCCTAATATTAATGTGAGTTTCATTCCGAAATCTATCTTCCGTTCCTAATGTGGTGTTCGAAACTTTTTTTATTTCTTGGAAAATTTTCTATTTTTTGGAATGAAAAGGTTAAAAAGTTAATTCCGGCCAGAAATTAGTAAACAATTATGTAATGCGGGCCGACATTTTGCCCTTCCACAACGCATCAAGAAGTATACATTATTTGGGAGACGACAAAAAATAACAGGCAATTTTTTTTTGTCGAAGTCACTCCATGTGCTGCTACGCAGCACATGAGTGAAATTATTATTTGTCGTACGTATGTTCAATAATGATGTTATTGGATAGTTAGTATGACCATGTGAAGTTTTTTCTGTGACATTTTGCAAAACAGATTACGTAATTTATGCATCATTTGTTGAATTGCCTCCAATCAGAATCAATATTTTGTGTACGAACGCAAAACTTGGATTGATGCACAAAGCCAGTTTTGTCGATCATTATGACGCAGTCGATCTACAAATCATATTTCACGGATCAGGTGTAACGTAACATGATTAGGAAAGGTCAAAAAGAACGTTCGTTTGCTAAAGATTGTTTATTTCTCATAAAAACCACCTTTAGCGCTTGAAAAAAAAGTTTCCTTGAACAATTTTACTATATAACCACCCAGTCAATAACTCTATTCTAAACGCTAACCCTAACATTAATGAACTTTAAAAAATTTCGCTATGCCACCAACCTGGCACAGAATTTTTCGACAAAAAAATAATACTGTATGTCAAAAAAAATGAGACTTTTCTTTGTAAATCAATGGTTTTTGAATTTACTACACACAATACGGCAATACAAGTCATGGACTAACTTTCCAAAATCCAGATTATTTATAATTACAAAAATAAATATTTTCGACACCCATGTATAAGTGTCCGAAATGCTGCAATAATGCAATCTTTTATTATAACTGTCACACAAAATGTTATTGTAAAGATGAATGCAAAATTAATTTGGTAAATGTAAGCATTCTAATTTGGTCATGAAAGCAGGTGTCACCCGCATAGTACTAAATTTAAAAATAGAAAACATATTCTTTAATATTGTAAAACTCATTAAAGGAACATTGTATGATCTAGTGATGTTCTCTTCAATGACATTATACTCATACATAAATGTTATCACACTCAGAAAACAATTTGATTGATTTGAGAAATTTGACCTTCTCATATATATCAACTCTTTTAAAAAAAAGTTCCAACTATTATGTATCGAACTTTATATAACTATGAACCGTAATTTTCAAATTTTTAAAAATAAATAGGTTTTGAAAGATCAAATTCCGAAGATCTACCAGTTGACTGACTATAGATGTCATCTATAAATAGGTCATTTGCCAAAAAATTTACTATTTGAAGGCAATGATTTTCCTTGCAGATGACCAAAATACACATCTCTTAGCACTTAGTTAACATCCTATATAAACAATCGTCCTATAAAACCAAAAGCAATAGAGCCGTAACCAGTAACGTAAATAAGCCTGCGTCTATAGTGCAGTAGTTCCAAGATTTCCTTTTTTGAATTGTGTGGTACTACTGTATACAATGGGATACAATGTTAATTGCGGGAACTTACGCTAAAGAACAAATGCTGAAATGACCAAATATAGAAATTGGTTTATCAACCCTTTTTAACATTACGTACAACGCAAATGTTTATTTCCAAATTTACATTTTAATCAATCAATGATATTGAGCCCTCGAAAAAATTCGATTATAGCGATAATACATTAAATCCATCTTAACGCACGAATCAGTATGATATGTTTGTAGTCTAATTTCTCCAAATTTGGGGCATTTATATATATTCCAAATTAGGTAAATTGGTAATAAAAATATCTTGGGCCGCTGGGTATTAGCGAAATAGATATTTCCGCTTGTACACTAAACACCTTTTGATCTTGGTATAGTTATTGGTGTCATTTTGTTTCAAATATTATTATCACCGGTAAATTAAGTCAATTGAGACGCGATAAACCTTCATAAACGTTGTCAATCAGAATTAATATATTAATAGTATTTAAATATATTATTGATTATTCTGATTGACGAAAATTAAATACAGTATCTTATTGACCTCTTTTTGAACAAAAACTTTGGAGTAATAGAAATGTTTACTAGTGTTATTGTATCCTTATTAAAGCATAATAATAAATTTATATGATTGTATCCCTATTAAGGCATAATAATAAATTTATATATAAATTCATGAATTTGATTTTTTCTTTTTTTTTCTTTTTTGATAGGCATATTTCACTAAATTTATTAAAATGACATTTTTCTTAGCTTTTTGTTTAATTTTCGTCTTTGGCTTTTTGATTTATTTAAATGACAAACGATCTCGGCTAGGTGTGGTAAGTTAATAATATTAAATATCTTTTTTATGAGAATAAACTATTGTGTCAATTAAGATCTTTTTATTTGCTAATACTGTAATAATAAATATATTAATTTGATTATGGTCCGTCTATGTAGAATGAACCACCAATGGTCCCATATAGTTTACCTATTATTGGACATACAATTCCTTATATAATTGATGCTGGGAAATTTCTTGCAGAATGTAGAAAAAAAGTAACCAAATTGTGAACATTTAAATATCTTTTTTTTTATTATTATTGTCTGCCGTATTAACTTTCTCTATAAAATTTTGTATTCTGAAAAGTATGGTGATCCATTTAGTATATATGTCTTTGGAAATGTGGTAACTTATGCAGGGCATAAAACTTCATTTGAAATTTATAAAGAACATGATATTTTTGATCATGATAGTATTCTAGCGGAGGTATGTTTTAGAGCAAGATATAATATATTACATATATATTACATATATATTACATAATATTTAATAATTATAATTTCAATTCTTTATCATCATAGACACTTATATTTCCTTTAGCCTTTAAAAAAGCCAAAGGCTTTGACAATCTGAGATTTCTTGCCAATGCAGTTCACGAACAAATAAGTGAAAAGGTCAAAGTATTCTTACCTAGAATGCATAAAGAAATTAAAAGAGGAATAGATTTATATATTGGTGATTGTAAAGGTAATTTGTATTTATTATTTAGTGTAGTGGTTAATACTCGAGTTAGGATCATAACTATAATTATTAAATGAATTCCAGAACCAAAAGTTTTCAACAATTTGGGAAATACAACGATATCCGTGATGGTACGACCTATGTGCAACATAATAATTGGAGAAGTAAGTCTACTATTAAGCTTGAATGTTTGATTTATATGCAAATAGTAATAATATTCTTGTTATGACAATGATTCACACATCAAGGAGGCATGTCAATTTGAAGAATTGGTTACTTCAATTACGACATTATTAAGACAGCTCGGAGTGCTACCTTTAATACCACAAGTCTTATCACTTATTTATCCTAAACTTCAATTAAAGGCTATTTCGTATTATATTCAACCAATTGTTTATTTAATTTGAGTTTTATTGTTTATTTGCTTAATTACTTATTAAAATTTTATCATCTATAGCTTGTTTTTAAAATTTGTGTGGAATCCAATTGATAAACCAAAAAAACTCTTTATCAAGTTAATGAAACCAATCGTTAAAGAACGCATTTTTCAAAAGGAAAAACTTGGTAACAAGTATATTATGAAAGTATGTAATTATGTATATATATATTTTTTTTAAAATTACTAAAAATAATACTTAAAGTGTGTACTTTATTAATATTAGGATGATTTGATGGAATATTATTTAATCAAATCAGATTCTGCGCCTAATAATGTGAATGACGTGAATGATGAATATATGGAATATTTATTTGAACAAATGACTATTGCATTTTTCGCTGCATTTTTTACGACCGTCAAAGTTGTTACAGAAGCAATTTATGGTAATAATATTGAATGTGATTTCAATAGTAAATCTCGATTTTAATTTATTTTTTAATTTTTACAAAAATTAGAGTATGGAGGAAGACCTGAATTATGGAAGGATATTTATGAAGAACAGTTGATGGTTTACAACCAAAAAAATGGCAACCTAACTATAGATGATGTTCATAAAATGGTTAAATTGGATGGTTTAGTAAAAGAAAGTCTTAGGCAATCTTTTCCTAGTAAGTATTTTTTTATTTAATAGAATAATATAATCTATAAATAATTTGCGCAGGTGCACTGTGACGCAATGTAACATGAAATCAAAACACACTAACGCATTAGGGTAGTATGCTAGAAAAAGATGATCCTATATCAAAATTTTGCAAGAATTTTTTTTATTAGAATGTGAAAAGTGGTTTCATAAGCAAAACTATGACTTACAAGCAATTTTTTAAAATTATCACTATTTGTCTTCGATTTCACATCACAACTGATTCTGCTATCTAATTGGTTGAACCTGCGCTAAATTATATAAGCCTTTATAAAGATATTAAAAAAACATCTTTTATTAGTTTCACTTATGGTTATTACAGAAGGTGATTCATATACATTTAATACTGGTGCCACAATTCCTAAAGGTATATTTATTATTTAAACTATTATCAAACATTATTTTTTTTCTTAAAAGACATTTTTAACAATTATAGGTCGTAAAGTTGCTGTTTATGCAGCAGATTCACACTTTAATCCAGAATACTTTGAAAATCCTGAAATGTTTCAACCAAATCGATATTTAACTTTGAATAGTGATGGATCTGTACTTAATTATACATCAGCCGCTAAACTTGAAAAATATTATGTACCATTTGGAGCTGGCAAGCATGCTTGCCCTGGTAGAATTCTCGCTGTTACTGAATTGAAATTATGTTTACATGAATTAATTTTGAAATATCATATCAAAACTAAAAGTGGTAAAGTTGATCCTAGATGGAAACTTAGTGATTTTTGGTTAGCTCCTATTACTGATTTGGTTTTTGAAAATAGAAAAAATTAAGTTTCAAAATTATATATATATATATTCTTTTTAATTTATATTCTTTTTCTCTATTCTGTATCTAAGTACTATTTAAATTACAATATATTTTTTTAAACTTATATTATTGAGTATTAAACATTAAATAGGAAATATTGAAATATATAATATTTCCAAAAGCTAAAAAAAGTTAAAATCGGTGCAATTCCTTTTTGATATTATAGCTATACTATTGTGAGCGTTGTGAGCGGTAGGATGGTAACGCCGGAAGCTCGTTGCAGGTGATCGGTGTGGCGCAATAACGAATTAACGCCTATGTTGATCACTGAAATCTGTGCCAGGTTACGCCGATGGTCAATTATTATTACCATGACCGTCGGTCAGTTGACTCATATGAACATAAGCGCATACTAATTTTTATTGTAATATTTATTAATAATCAATTGAATGCAAACTAAATACATTTATTAATATAATATTAGAGACAATGTATTAAGAATAAATGTTTTATATATTTCAATTCGGATAGTTATTAAATACACTTTCACTTAAGCTATGAATTTTTTTACTTATTTTTTTTCTTTTTCAGGTTGGAATAACCTAAAAATCTATATTTTCTTTCTCATTATTCATAGAATAATGCAACTTTCATTTGGTACCATGCCTATTTACTTTACATCTTTTAACAGATTCTACATGGACCTTTATAGGTACACTATTTTTAACATGAATTATTGGATCTATATTACAATCAATATTATAAAGAAATAAGGATAATTTGGAAATATACTTTGATTTTGTTGTATTATAACACATTGCAAACTTGTTGAGTGCAGTATATAATTGAGAATCATCATTTTGATAGTTTACTTATAACCAAAAAATTTTATCATTGTTTTTTTTATATAATTTACTTAGTTCTCTATAAAATACCAAGATAGTTGTTAAAATTTTTAAGATTAAAAAAAATTTAGACTAGTAAATTTAGCATAATAAAAAATGTACTTTTATATTATATTTAAAGCATTATTTGATGTACTTATTTTAACATATAAATTTTATTACAATTATAAAGGTTGGTTTTTTTTTTTGGTATTAAGGTGAAGCCTTGCTCCTATCTTTATTCATAATCATTAAGTAGTAACTACATGGAGTTACTAAATACAAAAAGAAGTTCTATATATGCTATGATTAAGACCAACACTTGCAATTAGAGCTGATCATTAAACTGCTAATTATAAAACTATAACTCTAAGTAATATAAATGTTACATGTAAAAGTAAGAGCTCAGACATATTTATTTGTAACTTAAACCTACTAGAGTGGCTAAGACTCATCTAGATTAGTTGAAATTTTCTAGATAATGTTTATTACTTTAGTATATACTAGTAAGCTACTTATAAATTTCACTAACTATTTATATTATTAAAAGTTAATTACATTATTATAAAAAAAAGAAACCAAAGGTAAGATAAATTAATTAAAAGATAAAGTATAGTTAAAAAAGTAAAAAGTAGTGTTAATTGAATAAGCAAATAGATAAAGGAAATTAACAGAATTGTAAAGATGTAGCTAAAATAAGTAATATAAATTGAATAGAAAAATAGATAAAGAGAAGTTAACAGAAATGTATAGATATTGTTAGAAGAAAAAGTTATCATCAAGTTCATTAATGATTTTAGATATATTAAAAGTATAGATAAAGTTAGTTTCTAATACTGTAAGTATAACAATATTAAGTTGTTTGATAATGTATTAATTTGTTTGATCGAAATATAACTTATTAAGGTTTTTTTTAAGTTGAGAAATGGTTGGTTTAGAGATTTGGATGATGTTGTAATAGGTAATAATTCTACTAGAATATGTAAATCACTTGATTGAGAGGAGATTTTGTTCAATGTTTCTTTGAGATTGAGATTAATAATTTTATTATTTGTTGCTACAAATTTAAAGTAAGCTTTAAGATAACAGTAAAAGAAATAATATATATATTTAGGATTAGTAGATGTATTGTTTAGTTAGATAAAGGTTTGTTCAGATTGGTTGGCTAGTTTATAAAGTTCTTTAAAAAGAAAGAGTATATAAAATGTCACTAAGGTAAAAGAAAAAGATTTAAAGATGGATATATATATTGTTAAATAAGTATAGTGTTAAAGGATTATTTAAAGTAATAAGAAGTTAAATTGTAGATATTATAAATTGTTTTTGAATTAAGAATTTTGTATTTTTTCAGATTGATGCAGGTATATATATAGTGTATTGCTGTTTTGATAGTATAGTTTGTTTAGTCTTGAATGGATTGGATATTTGGTAGTTCAGATTTTTGAAAAATTAGCTTTTTGTATTCATTATTAGTTATTGTTATTATTTGGTATTTGATATAGTTGTAGACTTTTTGTTTATTGATGTTACTAAATTATTTATTATAATGTATAAAGAATTTTTGAAACCAAGTATCAAATTGTAATTTGATTAAATGAAAAGGAAAAATACATTAATTTATATTGAATTCTTAAAGAAAGATATTTAAAGTAATATTGGAATTTAGAGATATTATAAATTTGTAACATAGAAGTATTGTTTTTCAAAATGTTTAAAATATGATTTATATGTATAAAGGTTTTTAGGTAGATGGGTTTAAGTTGTAAATCATAAAAAAAATTTTAATAATCAATGGTTTGATATTTGATATATAGAAATAGATAAAGTCTGATAAGATTTATAATTGTTTTTTAATTGAGTAAGAGGGAATAAAATAGTGTAAATTAAAGAGTTATTTGTAATTTGTTTTATAAAAAAGAATATAAGTGAATTTGGTAAGCCAATTTTTTGTTGTACTGAGAAGAATTTTAAAAGGTATTTTGATTGCTTTAATAATATGTAGATTTTTGTTTAGAATAATATCTATAATAAATTTAGGTTTTTTGGTTGTTATAGTTTGAATTAATAGGCTAAATTACTTTTTACAGCTAATTTGTCAATTGTTGTAAAATTAATAATTGAACTAGGATAGAAATCTTTAAGAATTGATTTTAAGAAATCTAATGTTTGAATTTCAGATGTCATAAGTATAGATAAAGAAGAGTTTTCTGAGATAGGATAGTTTTTAAACTAGTTTAAGTAGTGATCTTGTTGGATTGTAGTTTATAAATTCATTTTGGAATTATAAGTGATAATAATAGAAAGATGATTAAAGTTGTAAATAGCTTGGAACAAAGATATAGAAAAGATTTTTTAAGTAGTTTATAGTATGAGTAAAGTGTTTTATAATATAGGTAGCAAAAAAGAGCAAGTAAAAAAATAAAAATTGGGCAAGAAAATTGAGTTTTTCAAAATTGGCAATGAATTTTCCAGAGAGCCAGTAAATTTTTCAAGTTTCTCTGAAAGAATTTGAAGAAATGTTGGGAATTTGGATATTTTTAAGATTGGTAAAAAGTGAAATTTCTGAGACACCCTATAAATTTTCTGAAATTAATCAATAGAATTTCAAAAAGAAGTTTGAATAGGAGTTTAAAGATAAATATCAATAACTTAATAAGTTTTGGTTTGTTAAAAATAAATTTATATTGAAATGATCATCTCAATGAGTTGAATATTTTTGTTTAATAAGAAAGAATAAGGTTGCTTAGTAAAATTTAATAAAAATTAAGAAAGTATATTTTTTTAGAAAATATTAGTTGGTATGTAATATAATAGTTAGAATTTGGTATAATTAGTATAATTGAAAGCAGAAGGTTTAGTATAATTAGTTTACTTAAAAGTAAAAGAGTTTAATTAAGTATAAATTAAAGAAATTTAAAAAGAATATAAATAAAAATAATTTTATTAAAATGTAAAATTTTGTTGTATCAAAAGATTAAATATAAATAAATTTGTATTGTTTTTAGAATAGAAAGTTGTAAGAAAAAAGTTTAATTAGATGTTTAAAAATTGTTAGTTTAGTAAAATATTAAAAAAAATAAAATTGTTTGTTAAAGAAAAGTTGGTTTTAGTAATTTACAAAGAGAGTTAAGTGATTGGCCTTCTAATTTTAAAGATTGTAAAGTAGATTATAAACACAACAAGACATAAAAAGACAGATTTTTAGTAATATAACTCAAAAAGTCAATTAGATTAATTTTTAAATTAAAATATATAAATTAAATTATTTTATTTTATTTTATTAAGAGTAATATAAATATAAATTATATAATTATCATATATTAGTAATAGAATAAAATTAAGTAGAAAAATATAAAATTTTATTAAAATAATATTTTAGTATTTTGTAAAGCATTATATATTCCAATAAGTCAAACACATATTCTAATTTCAATATTAACATTATAAAAAAAAATACTATTTTTTATTTATTATATTTTATTTTTATCTATTTTTTCTAATCTGAACATAAAACCTTTTTGTAATTTATAAATGTTTAAGATATTTATTTATAAAAACAAGTAAATATTATTTATAAAATGTTTTAATATTTATAGTATTTTTTTTTTTTAACTTTAGCAGTCATGCTAGTATTTTATTAGGATTCTTGAAACTATACAGATTACATAGAATTTTCCTAATACATAAGTCTAGCATTATCTGGCCATCCAAATAGTACCTAAGTATGACCTGCTGCACTATCCTAGTTAAAGATAGACTGTTCATCTGACTGTCACCCTACAATAGGACATCACCAATCTAATGACATCTTTTCGTAAGAAAGCAAAAAAAAAAAAAAAGAATTTTTTATGTAAAAAACAAAACAGAGATATAGGATTAAACGATAAAAGATACAAATCAAGAAATAAAAAGAAAAAGGAAATAAACAAGAAAAAAGAAAATATATAAAACTTGCAATTCACAAATATCAGACAGTTACAATTGTATGCCTGTGTTAGGTCTTTAAAAATTAAAACTATACTAAATAGAAATAACTCTACTATTTTTCTATTTACTTAGATTATTTAACAAAAAACCATGTAGAAAAGA